ATTCCGAAATGCCACACAGAGAACTCTATACTGAGCGGCGCTATTATATGTGTCTAAAGCGAGGAGAGGGCGTGCTCGGACGAGTTTTCACACTTCGGTGTCACCTCTCTCTTAATCACCTCTTTCTCATCATTCGGAGCAAAAAGAGCTAGTTGCGGAACAAATGCGCAACCAGGAATCCCTTAGAAAGGACTGTTGGGCTGTGCGATGACTGGTGGGCGGGACGTCGTCGCGAGCGGTTGCGCTTTCCTCACGCATTTTGAGCTCTAAAATAGTATATCCTCCACGCTTGCAAACAGGACTACCATGTTCGGAGGAGGCTGCTCAACGTCAAACTACTGCGGAGCGTGCCTTCAAAATGGAGTCGTAGTTGCTTGGGGACGAGATATAATTACTTTCGAATTTCTCTTCTTTTTTATTGGAAGTTGATGCAATAGTTGTCTCAGCTTCTAATGACAAAGCCAATGTTTCTTCCTTATCCTGAACATCCGATTAGCTTTGGAAGGAAATATTATTGTTTTAGGGAATTCTAGGTGAGGATGACGAGGAAATGGCTTCCACATCTGAATCGACCTGTGCACTGGTCGAGGCGTCTGCAAAGCAAGAAGCAGGTTTGTGTACAAAAAGCTTCTCAATTTGGTTGATGTATTTCAAGAAGTTGAGTTTTTTTTTCATCAGTTAGGGTCGCATCTGTCCACTTTGTGATGCAAGTGTTCGAGTATCATGTGGCTATGCTCAAAACAGATTCCCAAGTTCCTTTTGAGCTGGGAACTCGAGTTTCATATCCCCGATTAGAACAGCAGGAAAGATACAAATCAATCCAGCGCTTCCATGTTTAAACCTTGGCTTTGAAGTTTTTTTTTCTCTGATTTGCCCGATAAATATTAGGTTTTGAGCGCTGTTCAACCCTATTCAATTTTTCGAGTGCTATTCAATTTGGGTTGTGCCACATATACTTTTTTTCTTTCAACTCATACTTGTATATCGAATGCGATAACCATGAGTGAGACCGGTGTACAAGTCAATGGTTAGTACCGAGTTATGGTTACCGAGTTTCTTTATCTTGGAGAAACGGAAGACCTCATGGTTTGCGCATGAGCCAATCCCAGATCTAACCTTTACTGTGCACGTGCTAACCGCGGCCTCTTGACACCACCTCCGTCCATAAGTACGATAATGTCAAGAAAACTATGCACGTTCTTATTCAGTATGTTTTCTTGTGCCTCTCGAGGTTTTTAAGGTGGAACAGTTTATTTAAGCGGCCTGACGTTTCGACGTAATCGTCTTTTTCAAAGGCCTAAAAGTGTTTCGAGTTTTAGAGATGTGTACTACCCCGCCAAGCGCCTAATCCACCCCAGCATTTCCGATGACGTGGTCCTAACCCAACCGAGAATCTCCCGCAAAACGAAAGAAACGCTCACCTCTGTTCCACCGCAAGTGGGAGAGGTGAGCGTTTCTTTCGTTT